AAATAAGTTTCTATTCACAAAATGGATGTGACAGTATGCAAGCAGCGGGCCTGTTGAACATCAAAGGACTGAAACCACTACAATTAAGAAATTCTAGCTAAAATAAATTTATAAAAATCGAGGTTCACTAGAATTGAGAAATTAAGCCTGGTGTCATTTTCCTGTAACCATTGCGAACTTCATCACCACCCAGGAACAACAGCTTTACACGGTTCATTATATTTGGTGTACTGTATTAGCTTAGCCACGACCACTACGACAGTTGTCAAGAGGAGACTAGCTACCGTAAGGATTATAGCACTCCTTCCTTTTAAAAAATACAGAAACCACCACTAGTTTGCTCACTAGCTTTCTCACACTTCTAAGATACTTTTAAATGAAACGACATCCGCTTCCAGGGAATAGAGTCCGGGATGTGACCAAGATACAGGCCACCTGAAGAATCACCACCCCAGATTATTTCACCTAACACTATTTGGGGGATGAGGCGAGGTTAAACCCGCTGGGGTGGGGGCGATCCCAAGATATTTAAAATTATCAGGTAAAGTACAACGTCACCGTAGAAGTAGCTGTATCAATTAACATTGGGACATCTGAGAGTTGCAGCAGGCAACCCACTAAAACTGCAGCAATAACCAGCATATGTGCAGGTGCGTCCCGAGTTCCAGCCGCCAGCAGCCCTACACCAACGCTGGTTGGCTGGGACGCTCACAGCTGACCCTCCAAGCCGGCCCACTCGCCTTCGGTAACCACTCCACATAATTGCTACACCACCGTTACTCATCCCACCTGGCCCCTCGCTGCCAGGGCTCAAGGCTATAACGATTAACACTTGTTTTCTGTGTATATTTATATGATTATAAATTACATCCCCACCATACAAAATTAATGTTCTCAGTGATGATCAAGAACAAGCATGACATTGTCTACTGGGGTTGACATTTATAAGGTTATGGCTTCCGGTGGGCGATTATTTGCCAATAAATAACAGAAGGGAGGGGCAAGAGACCAAAGAGTGGGGGGGGTACATTAAAAACTTTCTACTTATGTTTATTAACCAGATGAAGTACAGTATTGTCAAACAAGTCCCTCACACCAAGGATCACCAGAAAACTAGATACTCCATCTTATTTGATCTGAATATTAACTACCCCCACCTCCACCTGAAGGCTTGAGTTTGCATTTGGGTGGTTAATCAGGCGAAATAATCTTGGGTCTCCAACCTTCAGATCTAACATCACTGTGGTACATTTTGTGAAGCTGTTCCATGCACGAGTAAGCTATAAATTATAATCTAATGCATGAACTTAACTAACGTGACAGCCTATACTCCATGATGCCCGCCTGAAAATGTGACGAGGCTTTAAGATATTCAAGGTTAACATTTACTAAACCTGGTAACACGTAAAAAATTATCTAGGGTTATCGTCTGGTTGGGACTGTGTGGTGTCATTTAAAAAATTCGACCCAATACTGAAATGGCTGCTAGGTGGCTTTTTTAAAATATCAAGTGCTAGTTCTGGGAGAGTAACTCGTCAGCCAGCCATCATAAAACTGGAGGCATGGTTACCGTGCGGATCCACCTCAGTAAAGAATTGAATACAATTTAAAGTGGTGAATAGTCTACCCAGGGCGTGACAACAATATAAACAGGACTATAGGACTACACAAAATGGCTACCACAACCATAAGTGTTTACCTGTATATGCCAGGGGGTTCAGAACCCTCCTTAGGGGGTTAGGTTAGGCCATTTCCGACAAAAACGTCATAGAAGAGGTCATAGAATCGTCTAAACCAAGGGTTCTCAAACTTTTTTTTCAACCAAGGACCCCTTATATACCATGACGCATACAAATATTGTCAATACTCAAAGAATAAATCATAGTCCAAAGCATTTGTTCATTTCAACCCAAATCCAAAATGTCCTGCGAATAGGAATCGCCAAACATTAAACGCACTATTTCTCAAAAAAAATTTCGCGGACCCCAGTTTGAGAATCATTGGTCTAAACTAGTGACAGCAAAGATGAGATTCCCAAGCTACTGTTCATGTGTTCAAAAATATAAATTAACCCCAATACTTGTAAGGTAACTTCCATAATCAAACTAATTTAATTTACATTATAAAAAACTTTCGATGGTTATAACCCCACACCAAGTCCCACTGATAACAGAATTTGTAGGAGGATTAAGTCCTACTTGTACTGTATACTATCCAAACTTCAATTCCATAAACTGAAAATGGATCGTCCAAGATATATAAAGACCAATAAAACCATCAAGCTCAGAGTGAAGGTGTATTGACTAAAAATATGTTTGGGTGTGAAAGACTTAAAGATAGTGTATCGTTTTATATACAAAGTAGCATGCACTGTTTCGATACGTGATTGCCGTGTCGACTCCCGAAACTCGTACTCACAGATTACCCCAGGACATAAGATCTTTTTTTTATACACAATGGACACTAAAGGTACAATAAATGCATAAACTAAAGAGCCAGTTATGAAATTTTGACTCGGTGCAGATCTTAAAACATCCATAATACATTGGCTAAACAAGGACGAATCTCACCAAGTTCTTTCTCTCGATGACAGAAATTGCGGGGTCCAGACAAATCCCCCTCGTGTAAAGTACAAAGTAGGACACAAAAATTATTTAGAGGGGGGCTAGGTTAGTCTTATGATGTAATAATATTTTACACGTCAGAAGTGTTCATAAACTATAAATAATAAAAACTATTTAAAAATGTCATTATTTGTCCTAGGGGAGGTTGCGTGTAACGATGTGTGCAGGTCTGCCTCTGTTGGTCAAAGCAGCTGCCTTGAGGCGTTCTTCACCTGTTTAAAGTCATTAAAAAGGCCTTAAACTAGAAAAAATGGGGCTTTTGTCCCATTTTTTTAAATTTAAGTCGTTTTCCTACTTTGCACTGTACTTGATGGGGGTTTTCTCCTGGTTTGTCCTACTCAAAATTGCGTTGGAGGTTAGGTTCGGTGAGAATTTCAATTCTCTGCCACCACAAAAGAGAACGTGACAATATTTGTACAAACGATTAACCTTGGCCTTACAATAAGAAATCATTTGAGGGAACTGTATAAAACAAGTGTGGTCATCTCCACTGGCAACGTGGCGAAGAGCGCTTTTACCACACTAATAATGGCCAACCAGCATGGACAAAGAACCCTATCTTAAAGTAAGCCCAAAGCTACACTAACTTGTGAAGTACCAACAGTAGCCTGATACACTAACTTGCATAGTACCAACAGTAGCCTGATACACTAGCTTGTATAGTACCAACAGTAGCCCGATACACTAATTTGCATAGTACCAACAGTAGCCCGATACACTAACTTGTATAGTACCAACAGTAGCCCGATACACTAACTTGTATAGTACCAACAGTAGCCTGATACACTAACTTGTGAAGTACCAACAGTAGCCTGATACACTAACTTGTATCGTACCAACAGTAGCCTGATACACTAGCCTGATACACTAACTTGTATAGTACCAATAGTAGCCCGATACACTAACTTGTATAGTACCAACAGTAGCCTGATTCACTAGCTTGTATAGTACCAACAGTAGCCCGATACACTAATTTGTACCAACAGTAGCCCGATACACTAACTTGTATAGTACCAACAGTAGCCTGATACACTAACTTGTATAGTACCAACAGTAGCCTGATACACTAACTTGCATAGTACCAACAGTAGCCCGATACACTAATTTGCATAGTACCAACAGTAGCCCGATACACTAAATTGCATCGTACCAACAGTAGCCCGATACACTAACTTGTATAGTACCAATAGTAGCCCGATACACTAATTTGCATAGTACCAACAGTAGCCTGATACACTAACTTGTATAGTACCAACAGTAGCCGGATACACTAATTTGTATAGTACCATTAACACCTGTAATCCCTTTTTGTCAAAGCCCCCATCCTCTTACCCTGTCCCACCCAGCTGAGGGATCCCGTCTACCGTGTTGAACCCCAGCTTTTAGTTCTGCCTAGCCGGTTGTTGGTTCTGTCCATCGTGCCCCGCCTAGTTAAACCCCACCCCCAGCCCTGCTGTGGGTTGATTACTAGTGTACCGTGCCCCGCCCAGTTAAACCCCACCCCTCTTGCCCTGACCCGCCCGACTGTGGGTTCCCTCTGGTCAATCATGCCCCGCCCAGATATACCCTAACCCTTCCTTCGCCCAGCTGCGGTCCTCCCTAGTCTGGCGTGCCCCTCCCTCCATACGTCTAACGAAGTCTACAGAAAGTGCGATTGTTAAGCAACCCTGAGCGTAAAGTTTATAATGTAGTTTTAAAAAGTTCAAATGTTCTTAACCTGTTGTTCAATGCCCCAACACACGGGGCAGCCTAGACAGTCTTAAAACAATTTCACCTACAACGATAATTTTTACTAAATTCTAACTACGAACACGTAAATAAAGTTCCCTGCTGAAGTCTGGTTCTTTGTCCTACTGAACAATATACCGGAAACCTCACCTGCCCAAGCACTGGCTGACCACCAATGCTTCACGTGCTCATGTTTAGTGCATTCCATTTTCTAACCGGACAATACCACCAATATTTGACAAGATACCAACAGCAAACTCCTACCCAACACTTACTCTTAACACGGGAGAGAAATCTCGTTTTGTGTAAATCGCGCGAGGGAGACGATAACTGCCCAGCGACGGCAAGTTGTGAAGCCAGCACCAGCCATCATCGAGACTACAACGCCGACACCGCACCCCCACCTCACCGCACCTCCACCAACAAGAACGCCGTCAAATATAACATCCCTGCGAGTTCATTAACTAGCTATCAGTCTACACCTTAACTAAAACACCAGAAAACGTGTCGCTCAGTAGTGTTTTTTTAACCATACGCGCGTTAAAACTTTACAACTATAAAACGCCGCTACAACTAGCTTTATATATATCAATTTAACCACACAATAGACATAAAAGAGTAAACAGAAAAGGAATTTAATCAACTTACCTCGTATCTGAGTCCGGCGAGCCTCAACCAAGTCTCTACCTTGAGGCAGTAAGGGCTAAGGGAGGGAAGGACTGGGGTGCGAGTGAACTGGTAAAGATACACTACGTCTTTCTCAAAGTCCAGCTTGTGCACGGCAGGTTTAGGAGGCGCCGGCTCCTTCTTAGGTTTCACATCCTTCTTCTCCTCCTCCTTCTTCTCTTTGTCTTCCTTCTCGGCCTTGTCGTCAGCCTTCTCCTCTGCGTTATTCGCCTCGGCCTCTTCCTTCTTTACTTCTTCCTTCACTTCCTCTTTCTTCTCCTCAGTCTGCTCCACGTGCTTGGTTTCGGTTTCAGTCGTCATGATGAATGAAAGTGTTAAAACAAAGTTAAAAACGCAAAGAACAAGAGTATGGATAAAACCAATGCGACGGTCACACGTCTCGTCCGCGCACACAACTGACCGACTGAACCACGCCCGGCTTCTCCCGCGTCAAAGCGAAGCCAGTGACGTCACCACTACTCGAGCGCTGATTGGCCCGCTCTAGGCACATGAAAGACTAAGGTTTCTCCAGATTGTTGAATTATTTTTGTATTATTAAAAAGTCTTACAAATCTCAAAGCGCAATATTTTTCATTCTTAAATATATATATGATGATAAGAATAATACATTTATTATTCGCACGAACAAGAAATATTTTATTTGACTTTAGAGTTCCCCGCCATTTTTAAAGCCACGGCAATAGTCAGCCCATCCCACGATCAGATGGTGCTCGACTCGTCAGTAGTTGGCAACTTTGATTGCTTTAAATCAAATAATGTTTATTTTACTGCTCCAAGGACTTATCCAATAATAAACATTTTAATTGTATAAGAACAGAGGAAGTATATAGATAGGAATAGACTTATATGTTAAAGAACCTACGGGTTCATAATGTAATATAAATTGCTTGTTTATTTATTTTTCTGCACTGCTAATAGTTTCACTATTGAGAAAGTAAACGAAACATTTGTGAACCTGTTATCACTAACAAACTATAAGATTGTGTAACACGTTTCTCCAAGCTATGTGTTATATATAAAAACATATATGTATATACTGTAATAATCAAGAATGGCAATACTTCAATTCTTGCCAGTCGTCTCAACGCTAGTATTAACCAGCCGTCAACACACTAGATATGGGTTGTGATAACTAATCAATTTACTCTTCCAAAGTATTTGCTCAGCACACACCCTCCTTACCTCTGTTCGATTAAGATAAGGAAATGCAAATAGTGAAATCGTAGCCTAGAGAACCGCCATGGGTCAAACTCATTCTTAAATGGTATATACCTGTACGTTTAAAGTTGACACACAACTCACTCAGAGGATATATGTAGACGGCGTGTTCACTGGTGATTAATGCCACACAATATATTCGTTGAAACTAGAATATTCACTAAATATACGAGTACAGAGAACCTTCCCATGCATTATCCCAGCCCACAATACGGACACCCACGCTGTACATGGGAATTAACCCCATTATGTTCAAACCTATTCTACCCAAACCCACCCTACACCTCACCCTACATAACCTCACCCTACAGCTGGCTTCAAGAGTGTCAGTGAAGCCATTTGTAACCAGGGGGCTTCAGTTAGTCTCATGTTGTGTGTTTCTCAATATTTGCGTTTGATATAAACTTGTCCAAGATATCTGTGTTTGTCTGTCATTACCCAGCCATGTCAGCAGTGTGTGTGTGTGTGTACTTCCTAAATATTTTTCTTAATATATAGTCACTTAGCGAAACATGTTCTGTGTACATTAACTCGAATACGCTGAATTGCTTCAAACATAGGTTGGATGCCAATAGGCCCGCTGCAGTTTCCTCCATTCTTATGTTCTTATGTACTAGAGGGATCACAGACACACACACACACACACACACTACCGACATCATCTCCAGCCTCTCTCTCTCTAAGCTCGCTCTAATTCTTCATTTAAAAACATAGTCACGACTTATCGCCTTCACCCATCTCGTGGATTTAGGTTAAGGCATCAACTGTCTGATATTAACACCACATGGAAATTAATGTATTTTGATTAGGTGAACCACATGGAGATTAGGCAACCCCGCTTACATCATCTCAACCTACTAACCTAACTTATCCTATCATACCTAATCTAACCATAACCCCCCCCCCCCTCCAGGTAACATTGGGTGCTTAATCCTCGAATTAGCTGGGGTGTTAAATCTTCAGGTGATCCGATTTCATAACTAAATCAGCATTAGGTTAAGCCACCGTCTGAATGATACTGCCACCTCATAGGAGTGACTGTAGGCGCTTTATGTATTTTTTTTGTATTACTTTCCTCAATAAACTTTGGGATGGAATTTTCGAAACGGTCAGAGGACTGGAATTTCAGCTGCTGATCCCACCAAAGGGAGAGGTCAGGTTAATCGTTCCAACCCCAACTATGACCTGACATCATCATCTGACCTCACACAAATCCCCGGAGGGAGGGAGGGGGGGGGGTGACACTGATTTTGATGAGGCAACAACCACTCCTTCTGAGACCCTGACTTATTGTGTGGAGGTCCAGTATACACACCTGCTGTACACACACCTTCAGTACACACACCTGCTGTACACACACCTTCAGTACACACACCTACAGTACACACACCTACAGTACACACATCTGTTCCTGACACACGTGCAGGAACAAGGTGGTGGCGGTGTACCCCAGGGGAGGTGTGGAACAAGTGCGGGCGGATGATGGGGTCACATCCTCACTATCACAGGGTCATACGGACGCTCGGTATAGTGTGGCCACCTTATTGACACATCGTCCTAACAGACACTTGACCCGCATAGAGCTTTGTTGACACTCGTGATGACAATTTATACAATTGTGAGTTTCAGTACACAACTGTTCATTAGAATACAAGAATGGAGGAAATTGCAGTAGGCTGTAGCAAAAACTTCAAGAGATAATAAAATATTTGAAATGTAAAGAAATTGAAAAATAAGAATGGAGGAAACTGCAGCGGACCTATTGGCCCATACTGGGCAGTCCCATTTACACCCAACCCCTATTGCTCATATATCCATCCAACCTATGTTTGAAGCTATCCAGCGTATTCGAGTTAATGATGATATCTGGTAACTTGTTCCACTCGTCCACTACTCTATTATTACCAAACCAATGTTTACCTATTTCGCGCCTAAATCTAAATTTGTCAAATTTAAAACCATTGTTGCGAGTTCGCTCCTGAATAGATCGAAGCCACTGGATAGGTTAAATCACCATTGACTTTGAAGCCATTGGGAAGGTCAATCCTCCCTTTTAACATGAAAGTTTATGAAATCCAAATCCTAATTTCTCTCTCTCATCTTGAGATACTTTGTTCATTTAATTAAGGATGGGGGTTCATACACAGGAGTGTTAGTTACAAGACTAGCGAAGTTATTCTAAAACTATATCTTGCGCTTGTGAGACCTCACTTGGATTACATAAGAATATAAGGAGTCTGCAATAGGCCGGTTGGCCTGTGCAAGGCAGCTCCTGTCGAGAGTTACTACCACACTCTATCATCCATGAATCTATCTAGCCTCCTTTTGAAACTTTCCAGAGTTCCCGCACTTACTACAAAGTTGCTAAGCTTGTTCCACTCGTCCACCACGCAGTTCAGCTCTGGTCACCGTATTACAGAATGGATTTAGGCGTGAAATAGGTAACATTGGTTTAGAAAGAGAATAGTGAATGAATGGAACAAGTTACCAAACATCATCATTAACTCGAATACGCTGGATAGCTTCAAACATACAGTAGTTTGGATGAGTATATGAGCGATAGGGGTTGGGTGTAAATGGTACTGCCCAGTATGGGCCAATAGGCCCGCTGCAGTTTCCTCCATTCTTATGTTCTTATGGATAATAACATAAATATTAATGGGCAAAGTTAAGGGTAGAGGGGCCAGGGGAAGGCAGAGATTGGGAAGGATGAATGAAATTAAAGACTGGGTCCCCAGAGAGATAGAGGACTGTGTTCACACGCTGGCAAAAAGCTGAAGTACTTTTCTATGGGTTGTTGCCACTACCCACTGATATTTTTCTTGGTTTACTTAATATTATCCAGCACGAAAGATCTACTCTTTAGGTGCACCTGCTCATCTGTTTCTCTGGTGTTACTAGATGCCATCACGGGCGGGCTGGTGACCACACAGTAGTTTCAAGGCTCTGAACTTGAGCATCTTGATCTTCTCAGTGCTTGACCAGTCTTTCCTCGAAGGCCATCATATTTTTAAGATGTCTCCACCTGTTCGACACATCTACAGTGCGCAGTGATAGTTGTTTTGTCTCATCTTAACACTGGCACTGCTGTCCTGTTGTCTCGGTGGTGGGCTGCCTCTTTAGGATACATCTCTTGTATTATTTTGAGGGTCTCCATCGCAGGCATATTGCGGTATACTGTTAACATCATTAGTTCCTCAGACGGTCTTTATAACTGGTGTTTTTTCCGCCCTGGTATCCCTCTCACCACCCCATACCTGTAAGAGAATCATCTTGCCAGCCTACTGTCGGGCAGTTGACTTTATAAGCTCAGCATGACTAAGACTGGGGTAGCTGACCCAGCAACTCGTGTGACCCCAGGCAGAGCAGGACACGCTTGGTGAGGGTGAGACCCAGCCAACACCCTGGGAGGGAGAGAACGTCTCACATTACTGGTACAGACTCACCAAAGACGATCGTGTCCACCTCCCATCACTCGACAGAACTGTAAACAGCACAACGTCTAGATTATAAACTGTTCCTGAGGGGTCATTAGGGCAGATAGTCTATTAACGTTACTTGTCAAACAAACTCAAAGAGGTCTATACGACGTTAATCAACAATGTGTAACTTACCATTGAGAGGACTGAATAAAACGTATTCTAAGACAATTTCTTTTGGGGACCTGAATCAGAATATTTATTTAAATTATTTTTAACCGCAAATTTAGGTATAAAGTACAAGAGTAGAGTAGTACTCCTGTAGTGGTTGTGGCGTTACCTTAACCTATAGATATTCAGCCAGACACTAGTTTAATAATTATCTCCAACACAAAGTACAGTATACGCAATGGGATCACGTGAACATTAGACACCCCAGCTCAACCTAACCCCCTGCTGGTGGTTAATCTTCGGGAGATCTAATTAATATTTTAAAAGTAAGACAAGATTTATTCAGTTTGTGTACAGCCAACCCAACACATCCCCAGCTTTGAAGAAAATGACCCCAGCAAAGTGTTGCAATTAGCGAGATAGTGTTAACCTTTTACCTGAGTGTGAGGGTCAGGATTTGACCTAGGTTGACCCCTGCCACACCCTGATGTCTGGATGACACATTAGGCCATAGGACATATTTAAGAGCAATTTCGATCTCCCCAAAAAGGTTCGATAAGTGTTACGGTCTTTAACCATCAGGTGCAATAAGTTAGAGGGGGCTTCTAGTGACC